TGGAAAGGTACGATCTTCGTACACAAAAACAAGTAGTAGGAAAATGATGCAATTATTACAGTCCTATAAATAAATAAATAAATAGATTTATAGACTGAAAGTAGAGGAGGATGTGCCTTCCAGGTGTCTTCTAAGAAATGATCACAAGCTTTTTTTGTCAGCCTCGAATAAAATATGACCAATCTAATTAATTTTGGGTGTGCAGAAATTTACAAACGTAGAAGGTGCCATTGGTAATCTGAGGGCACCAGCGAAAACCATCCGATCCTTTCATTAGCACGCAATGGGGGAGCTGTGTAAAACACTAGATTTCTATGGATAGAAATAGGAAGTTGAAGTTGTCAAATCGGAAGCCAGCGGCTGAAAAGACTCGTTAGACAAAAATTACCAGTAGTGCCATTAGTGATGCGCCGTAGATGGAATCTTAGCTATTTTACTCTCTTTTTTGTCGCTCGATAATTTTTTTAATAAAAAAATAAATATATAGACTGTTCTAACATTTTTTATATAAAAAATTTTTGGTTATAAATTGAAATATTTATAGTCAAATTTTATCAAAAAATAATTAAAATTAAAATATTTAATTTCATAGTATAGATTATATACTCTGTCATATTTAATATATTTATTTTATATGATAATTCTTTTGGTTATAAATTGAAATGTTTATAGTCAAATTTTATCAAAAAATAGTTAAAATTAAAATATTTAATTTCATAGCATAGATTATATACTCTGTCGTATTTAATATATTTATTTTATATGATAATTTTTTTTATTAATTGCTCTGTTTTATAAAACCATATTGAATGAAATTATAAAACTCAACTATAAAATAATTTAATATTAGATTAAAAAATTAAAAATAATTTAATGTTATAGAATGAAATCCAAAAAAAATCAATTTAAAAAAATTCAAAGTAAATTCAATAAAAAAAACAAATAAAAAGAATCAAGATAACCAGAGTCATTCTTAGAATTAGTTAAAATATATATAAAAAAAATAAACAAAAATAATAGAGTTCAATTTTTAATTGAATAACTATTGAAATCTGAAATTAAAAAAAAAAGCATGAGCTTAAAAAAAATTTAAAAAAGACAACTCAAGCAAACCACCTAAACTTGAGTTAATTTTTAAAACTCTTAACTTGTAAAATTTTAGACTCAAATTCAATTAAGAAGCTCAATTTTAAATTAATTTAATATTGAAGGATGAAACCAATAAAGAAAAGTCAATTTAGAAAAATTACCAAAATTAAAAAAATAACAATAAAAAAATGAAGAAGAAATTTGATAGGGAGAAAAACTAAAATGATGAAATTATAAAAAAATCATTTTAAAAAAATACATCAAACAAAAAAAATAATAATCAAAACAACAGAGACTAAATTGAAGAGGTAAAATTAAAAAATAATTCTAATTTTATAAATTATTTTAAATAAAATAAATAGTAATCAAAAGAATAAATATCAAATCTGAAGGAATAACATATTGAAGGGTTTATTTGAAATTTTAAAGGGGCAAGCATGGAAATCAAGTACATTAAAGAAAAAAATAAGCATAATCTCATACAAAGCAAACTAAGACAAATCAAAAATTTTAATTTCTAATAAATCAAGTATTAAATGATAAAATTGAAAAAAAATATCAATTACAAAAAGAAAAAAAACTTCAGTCAACTAGATTAACCCATTAAATCCATGACACGAGTCAAAAGACTAAGATAACAACAGAGAAAGAAGATCATAATAAATCATAAAACTCAAGCTTAATTTTACGAGGTAGTACATAAAATAAACACCATCTCTTTTAGTGATGACTTGATTGTCAAAAAAATTCAAACTCAAAACCCCAATTTGAAGATTGTAAAACAAATATGGTTTATAGTGATGGCTTGAGAAGTTAGAATTGGATATGCATAACACTAAAATTTTTAAATGAGAATGGTCATAGGCTATATAGGCTTGAAGCTTGAACCATGTACCCTTGGCTCGGGCTTTTTATTTTGGTTAAAAAGTTTGGTATTTAAAGGAAATTATGTTATGTATTTACATCAATAGGTTTGGGGTATATACAACATACCAAAAACTAAGCAAAGTTTGTTAGAATTCGTTTCCTCTCATGAGTTTATTAACTTTTGTTGTTCTTTCTTATTTATATTTTTATCTAATTATAGATTTTTAGTTTGGTTGTCGTTGTTGTTGTTATTGAGAGAGATTCAATATGTTTTTTAAGTTTGTATGCCTTGATTGGTAATGTAACCTTTTAAAAAAATATATTAAATGGTAAATGAATTGAATAAAACTATTTACTTGGATGTTGTTGTTGTTTTTTAAGTTGTCAATGAAAATGAATTGAATAAAACTATAAAACAACCTAATATGAAATAGTAAAATTAAAAACAAAAAAAATTTAAAATTAATTTAATATTGTAGGGTGAAATAAAAAAATATAAATTAGAAAAAAATTCAAAGTAAATTTAACAAAAAAAAAATAACAAGTGAAAAGAACCGAGATAAACCAAGTTATTTTTAAAATTAACGAAATATTCTACAAAGAGAAAATAAATAAAAATAACATAGTACAATTCTAATTGAATAAATATTGAAGTTTGAAACTAAAAACATATGAGATTTTTTTTTTTTTTAAAAAAAGATAACCCAAGTGAACCTCCTTTAAAAAAAAAAGATAACCCAAGTGAACCTCCTTTACCTTGATTAATTTTTAAAACTCACAACTTGTAAAATTCTAAACTCAAATTTAATCAAGAAGTTTAATTTCAAACCAATATAATATGATTGAATGATGAAACAAAAAGAACCAATTTTAAAAAATTTCTAAAGTGAAAAAAATATCAATTAAAAGAATGAGGATCAAATTTGATTAGAAAAAAATAATTTTAAAAATTATATCAAATAAAAAAAATAGTAATCAAAACAATAGAGATCAAATTTGAAAGATGAAAAAGTTAAAAAGGGATAAAATTAAAAAAGAATTCTAGTTTTATAAATTATTTTGCATAAAATAAATAGTAATAAAAAAAATAAAGACTAGATTCAAAGAAAAAATAAATTGAATGGTTACTTTGAAATTTTAAAGGCTCATGCATAGAAATCAAGAAGAAGAGAGAAAAAATAATAATTGCAGTGAGTATTATGAAAAATTATTTGAGTATTTCCATCTAGCTAGGCTTTGATATAATATTTTTATTAATTCAATTTTTAAATGAAATTTGAATTTTTATTTTTAAAATATATTTTATGATTTCATTAAAAATATTTTTTTGAATTCCTAATTTATATTTTTTATTGAATTATATTTTTTGACTAAATTTGCTTTTTAATGTAATCATAAAATGGATTTTTACGGAGATCTAATTGATAAGATATCTAGACTTTTGAAAGGAGGAATTGAAGTTTACAAGATATATATATACACATACATACATACATATATATATATATATGAAACATTCTTCGTTGGTTTTATTAACGGAAACAAATAAAAAGAACTTGTTGTGTGAATCTCTCATTCATAAAAATCAAATTAAAGAACGATCGATAGAGCTTATATATTTAATTTTTTTAAGATTGTAAAATGAAATTAATATTGTAATTTAAAGAAGAAACGCTATCTTGTGATGATTACCCCTAATATCCTCAAGTTGATACATCAGAAGGGCTGGCTCTACATCAATACCTAATTTCTTAGCGATTGTGACACTAACTTCAGTGATTTGTGTAATCAAATAAAGCATTAGATTTTTCTTCAAACGAGAGAAAACAAGACTGGCCATTCAATCCCAATTTTGAAGAGCTACTCAACATGATCACGTAAGAGACAATAGAAAGTGGTGTGTGCAAAATATAATAGGAAAAGTCCCACTATGGGATGTATGTGGTGTCACTTTCTACTTAATGATCACTAAAGTATAAATTTATTTATTTATCCGCTTTACTCATTGTCTCCTGCGTTGACTCGTCGTCAAACCATCCTTCGTTTCTCTCTAGGGCTTCAATATTCAAGCCACCCTCCGTTTCTCAAGGACATTAACGATATATATTTCACCAAGACTATTAAGATAAAATCTCGGCTACTTGGATTAAAAAGAAATTGTCAATAAGTGAATTGCTCTATCGTGCACTATCTAGACGTACACACACGAGTAAAGTACTTCGAGAAAATTTTGGGACACTTGGGATGGTCTTAAAGGAATCATGATCACTTATCAAATACGACAATGCTAGTTCCACCCCTTCTTGCAACCATTTGCGTGACATAGTAATCGAAAATGCTTGACTAGATTTAATGAACTAGTACTGTCGGCCTTTGGCTTCTCTATTGGCGATGCAAGTTGCAACCGGTGATTTTTGATTAATTATCCAGCAGTATATCTCTAGACTAATTTTATACGATTTTCAAGAATTTAAATTGATGTACTTGAAACCTTCAAGGTATAATTTTATGTTATTTTTTTAATAAATTTTGATGTGATGTTTTTTTTTTTTTTCTTCAAGTTTAAACCCCAACTATTCTTCTTAACTTGAGTTTAGATGAATTATTGACACAGCCATATCATGGTTCGCCCTATGCCAAAATGGATGGAAAGGCTACCTATAATTAACATCAAGTAAATTGTGTTTTCAACTGAAGACAAATGTTTATACGTATACATATCAAGGTGATGCGAGAAGACGATCCCCCATATTACTGTAACAGAAGGTACACTTGTGTTGTTCAAGGTGTTCCACTAGATCACGCTAAGTTCACTAAAACGAACCCAACGTTAAGATAAATATTGCAGGCTTGCATGTTTCAGTGCATTACCCCATGGCCATGTAAGTGTGTGTGATTTGAAATGTGAAACCGTGTATGTCCACTTTGAAGCTTCGGCACAATTACTGTTTTCTTCACTTTTTTTATATCTCGAGCGATCGGTCCTTGTTGTTATAAATACATGCACCCTCTCCACCTCAACCATTCAACAAACCAAGTCGAGGAAAAAAAAAATAGCAGAGTACCATCAGCTAAGTAATATCATGGGCTCAGTTGTTATCCCTATCCCAGATGGAGATCAGGGATTTACTCATGATCTCAAACAGGAAAAGAAATTCCAAGTTTCTCTAAGTCCTGTTATTTCTTTTGTCCAGAAAAATAGGGATACCATAAGAAAAGCTATCCACGCTATCAAAGTTGGAATTGCTCTGGTTTTGGTTTCTCTTGTCTACTTCGTTGACACTCTCTATGAAGAAGTTGGAGACGATAATGCGATGTGGGCTATAATGACTGTTGTGGTCATCTTTGAGTTCCATGCAGGTTGATATATATACTATATACTATTGATTTGTTTAAACTGTCGTAATAAATATTGCATTTGCATGCGATGCTATGTTTTCCAAACGTTTTCTTGATTTGATATCACATGCATTTCAGGAGCTACCCTTAGCAAGGGCTTGAGTCGTGGAATTGGGACTGTTTTAGGAGGCGGATTGGGATATTTAGCAGCCGTTTTAGGTCAGCAAGTTGGTGGTATCGGCAACCCTTTTGTCGTGGGTGTTTCTGTCTTTATTTTTGGTAAGGTTTTCATCCTTCCCAGGATTCAATATCAATAAAAAAATCCAAAACAACAAAAAAATGATGAATATTGCTACGTACAACAATCAACATTGCTTTTCTTCTTTAACCATAAAGTTTTCGAGGCCAATACAATTATAAACGTTCCTCGCCATTCTTCAGCAACATCCCAGTTTCTTGTAAAAACGAATCCCAGTTTCTCTGTGCTCCGTCGTCAAATACGTTGTTCATTAATTGCTTCTAGAATGAAAATATTTTATTCTGATCTCTCAATTAGTTAATGAATATTCGCTGTGTGTGCATTCCATTCCATGTGACAGCAAACAGGAAAGTGATATGCTATCACGACATCTAAAACTTAATTCCAAGCACTAACTTTATCGGTTTAATTATCTTACACGCTATGCCTAAGCCCCCTGTGACAGCTTTGTTCTTTATTAATTTCTGTCCTCGCTTTTAAATGTACATTTTAAAAAACAGGCCTCCAGTTCACTCAAATTAATCTTGCTTTTAATTATTATCTTAAGAACAGAAAATACAATGATATATTTTGCATACATGCATATTTCCATGGAATGTTTGATCAATCTCGTTCAAAATACTGATTGTGGATCAGGTGGGGCAGCAACATACGCTAGACTGAATCCAAACATTAAGAAGAGATATGACTATGGAGTGATGATATTCATCCTCACATTCAATCTGGTTTCAGTATCCGGTTTACGTGAAGAGAATGTCATTGAAATAGCCCGCGAACGTCTCGTGATGATTGTTTTGGGCTTCGCCATCTGCATTTGCACAAGCTTGTTTGTGTTTCCCATGTGGGCTAGCGATGAGCTTCATGATTCTATGGTGTCCAAATTTGAAGGCCTTGCAAGCTCCATAGAAGGTAGGCAATATTAAAAAAAAAACAAAAATCAATTAAGAATTGAATCGAATCCGTAGCCTTTATTTTCTTTTCAGCTCTGATTATTTGAACGACACTGATAAAATTAACGGTTTGTGAAAAATATAAAATTTCAGAATGTGTATTCTATATTTTATCATTTTTGACAGTAAGAACTGGAAAGGAGTGAGAATTTAAATCGTTTTGCAGGCTGCATAGAAGAGTATTTCAGGTTAGTCAATGAAAAGGAAAACCAGTCAGTTCAGCCGACTGCTAGTTTCAGGGACTGCATATCAGTGCTAAACTCCAAGGCAAAGGATGAATCCTTGGTAATATTTCTTCTCTTTGTCTCCCCATAACTTGACAATAGCACAAGTATCTCACTGTCAAACAAATGTTCCCATTTAATTTGGTATTTCTTCTATCCCAAAACATGAATTCTCTGATTATTAAAAGGTGTACTCTCTTCTTAGGTATATTTTGCGAAATGGGAGCCGTGGCATGGCAGATTTAGGCTATCCCACCCTTGGGAGAAATACCAAAAGATTGGAGAGGTTCTTAGAGAATTGGCTGCGATCATTCTTTCACTTAAGGGTTCTCTTAATTCTCCCGAAGAGGTAACTAATATGTACTCAACCTTTTCTTTCAACATTTCTATTCAAGTTTCCGAAGTTTTTTTACTTAAACCATTCAAACTGTGTTATAATAGCCATTGCAAGCTTTGAGAGAGTCAATAAAAGAACCTTGTGAAGCAGCTGGGTCAGCACTTGCTTGGACTCTGAGAGAGTTTGGAGAGAGCATCATGAAAATGAGAAGGTGCCAGCCAGGGGTTTTCATAGTACCTAAGTTAAAATTAGTGAGACAAGAGCTTAGTCAGGTCATGTGTCCTTTCAATTTAGGGAAACTTGATAATGCTGAGGGATTTGCAGTAGCAAGCTTTGTGTTCACACTAATGGGGGTGGTGGAGAAGCTGGAAGATTTATCCAAGGAGGTGGAAGAGCTTGGAGAACTTGCTGGTTTTCAAGGCTAAAGTTCTAAATTATGCACAACTATTCGCCAATTTTTGGCTTGGCTGAGAAACTATTCAGAGAAAGGCACGCACTGATCACTGCTTGGCAATGTCAGCGGAGCGCATATATGTTGTTTTAACCTGTAAATTTACTGATAAATATTATGGAAATATTAATAGCTATGGTAATGTTATATTATTTTTTATCTTATAAAAGAAAATAATGTAAATAAATAAATAAATATAATGTACTCATGCTATGCAAAAATAATGTGTGTGTGTGTTTGAGTGTGTGCGTGTGTGTGTATATATAATGTACTCATGCTGTGCAATCGTGCCCGCAAAGCTAATCAAGAAATTATATACTCAAACCTGAACCGGCTATTTGGATGAAATCTTAACTCAGCCATCGATGGAACAAAGCCACAGCGTAAATGAACAAACTACAAAGGGGCAGATACGGACCGCAAAAATTGTCGTTTAAGGTTGTCACATGTGCAAAAGGAAAAGTCCAAAAACTACCCTCTAAAGTAAACAAAGATGCATGCGCTCTTTGAAAATACGGCCCAAACAATTTTTTATTAAAAACAATAATTTTTTTATATTTTACAATTTTAATATGGTAATATTAAAAAATATATGTTATTTTAATATATTTTAAAAAATATTTGAATAAATAACACGAACACTCCAATACAACACGGGTAGAGGCGTCATGCCTTTTCAATTGTGAATCGCTTGGCCCACGATCCACCTTGAAACCAGAGGCCGTAAATCTTGGCCGAAAACCACTCGAAGTTGAATTTGAAGTGGGTGCGTAGAACAGTAATAAAAATTGTTTTTTTTTTAATTTTAAAATAATAACTTTTTATTTAAAAAATTTATTTTTAAAATAAACATATTAAAATAATATAAAAATATTTTTTGAAAAAAAAAAAAAACCTACTTTATTTGAGGTTCAGACCTGCGTGGCACCATCATTAGCTTTTGGGGGTGGTTAGTATTAAAAGGCTAAATAAAAAGTGGGGTAGCATTCCTCCTCAGTGTTGTCCTGGGCAGAAATGGGTGAGAGACAAAGGCTGCGATCCCCAACAGAACTAATGAATATTGTCGGCAATCATCTCAACCTCTCTTCTCCCAGGACAATTCTCGCTTCACTTGTTTCTCTTTTAATATATGATCTGATTGATATCCTTTCGTATTTTTTTAATTTAAATTATTAAATTCTAAAACAATTTGTTAATTATTAATTATTAAAAAAAACCCAAATAAATAAATAAAATATTGAAAAAAACTCACTCAACCCTGATTTAGTATTTTTTATAATTGATTTGCAAGCATGAGAACTAAAAAATATTTTATATAAAATAATAATATTCAGGTCTTGGAAAAACAATTTTGATGTGTTATTAAAATTAAAAATAGATTTGATTTTTTTATAAATATAAATTTTCATTACAAAAAAGACTAATATGTATATTCAATAAAATAAATAGAGAATTATATTTGCTAATAAATAATAAAAAATTTATTCATATAAACTAAAAATTAACTAAGGAAACTGAAATAAAGATAAATATTAAAATATCTAATTTTATATATTTTTTCAAATTTTGTATCTAATTATATAACATAGTATTTTAAAAAGAAAATATTTAATTTTATATATTTCTCAAGTCTAAAATCAATTTTTTATTGATGTTTTTCTTTTCACTCAACCCTGGTTTAGTATTTTTTATAATTGGTTTGCAAGCAAGCGCTAAATTGTGAGAACTAAAAAATATTTTATATAAAATAATAATATTCAAGTCTTAGAAAAAAAAATTTGCAGTGTTATTAAACTTAAAAATAGATTTGATTTTTTTCATAAATATAAATTTCCATTACAAAAAAGACTAATATGTACATTCAATAAAATAAATAGAAAATTATATATGCTAATAAATAATAAAAAGTTTATTTATATAAACTAAAAATTAACTAAGAAAACTGAAATAAAAATAAATATTAAGATATCTAATCTTATATATATTTTCAAATTTTGTATCTAATTATAGAACATAGTTTTTTTAAAAGAAAATATTTAATTTCATATATTTCTCAAGATTAAAATCAATTTTTTATTGATGTTTTTCTTATTTATCTCAATAAACACAAGGTTTGAAATTATAATAGTTGTTTTGATAGAAATAATATGATTGTTATAGGAAATTAAAAAAAATATAATGTTCATATTTCATGCATGATTGAAAACTAAAAAAAAATCATAAAATTATTAAAATCATATTTAAAATCCATTTAAATTTTTTTAAAAAAATTAAAATATTTGAGTCGAGTTTCCCATAACAATGTATAATTATATTATTATTTTCATTTCATATATATAATAAAAAATGCTAAAATAAAAATAAAAATTTATAATATTATTTAATAATCATGTAAAAATAAAGAATAAATGAATAAGTACGGGAATTTTACTGTTTTGAACTCCAAAAAAAAAAGAAAAAAAGAGAGGGTACATAAAAAGAAAGATCTATTCTCTATTGTTTTGAACTCCAAAAAAGAAAAAAAGAAAAAAAAGAGGGGTACATAAAAAGAAAGATCTATTCTCTAGCTTTCTAGCACCAAACCAGGCGTGCATAGGTCTATAAGCCAGACCCATATGTCTAGTCTTGTTTTTTATTTTCTTTATTAAGATAATAAATAACATGTTATACAATTCTTTTAAGAAAAAAAATGTCATATTTAAGGCAAATGGCATATTGTTTGCTTGTCTAGTTCCAAGTAGACGAGCAAGCTGAACACTAGGAAGAAAATGCCATTTTGTTTTTAGACTTAATAATTCATTTTTTTAATAATTTTTAAGGTGAAAACACATGAAAAACAAATATATCCAACTTAATAAAACTCACTTGTTTCCTTTGAGTTGCCAAAAAAATCAACTCCAGATATAAAATCTTCTCAAGCCCTTATTTATTTTTTTAGCGAATTTAAATGTCATTAACCACTATCATTTAACTTTTTTTGTTGAATAGAATATCTAAGCATCAAACTCGATCACCTTTATAGTTGAATTTGCAACAACTGATTATTATTTATTTTTGTTATTATTTTTTAGTGAGTCTCTTTTTTATTTATAGGTTTAAAATAAATAAAATGAATTTATAAATCAAATTAAATATTGATAAAATTTTTGGATCAAACTTATTGTTCTTCATGTCTCGCTACTAATTTCATATAATTAGACAATTGAAGAATGTAATTAAAAGAAAAAAAAAAGTTTGAATCTATAAAACAAAAATGATTTGTGGAACAATGAAGCCCTATAAGAAAGTCTTAGGTTTTTATTAGATGTATAAGATAATCATTCAAAATTAATGATAAGATTTTGATATTACGAACGTGAGAATAATCTAAAATCTTCAATATAGCAATAAAACAGGGATAAATACAAATCAGCTCCAACTTATCATGTATTTCACAGGTTATTCTTTTACTTTGAAAAAGTACAAAACAAACACAAAAGAAAGAGAAAGAATAAAATTCATAATTTATAAAAAATAATAAGAATATATCTCTTATTATTTCTCTCCCCGACTTATATTTATCTATTTCTATAAAGTGAATCTCATTGACTAATTAAAAAATACTATTAATTATAGTTTAAACACCATAAAAAATGTTACATTATTTAAGTGATGATATAAACTCTTAAACCTAACATCATATTTAGGCTTGATTTTATTAATGAATTGCAATACACACACACACCCCAGTTAGTTAAATTAGAAAAATAAAAGAAATATACGTGTGTATGTATATTTTTTACTTTATATATAATAATTATTATTATTTTAAGTTTTCAATTAGATTTCAAAGAAAGTCGTACCTCTCATTTATATATTAATGTTATATCTAATTAATGATTTTAATTTAAATGTGATGTTAGATATCAGTGTCGTACCTCTCATTTATTTATTAATGTTATATCTAATTAATGATGTTAATTTAAATGTGATGTTAGATATCAGTGTTTATATTATCATTCAAGAAACACATCATAATTAACTAGTATGCATTCAATTAGATGCTTTATTGCATAAAATAAAATCTAAAACCTATTTAAATAACATTAAATATGAAACACTAAGTTTCAGCACTCAGAATCAGTCGAAAATAATGTTAGCTCAAATAAATAAAAAAACAAAAAACAAAAAGCCCAGTCCCACATTAGAAACCATTTGTTTACGAGGTAGCGATTACGTTTTGCTTAAAACATAAAAGCCAAATGCCTGGTGAAGAAAAAAAACAGCGTTTACTATTCATGGATCCTATTATTTACTGCGTTTGAAATGCAGGGTTAGAAGAAACCGCCAAGAGCACTTCAGATGCTTCCCGCTTGTCTCAATAAATAATTGAGCTCTCATCATTTTCTACAGGCTCTACCCACTATAAGAAATTAAAATCCATGGGGTGCCAGATACATGCTAATATCAAGACATCACTAGCCTTTTCTTATAAATGATGATCAGATCATGTTTGGATTATAGTTAAATTATTGTTATTTTACTATTTTTTAAATAAAAATTAAATTATTTTTTATATATTAATATCAAAAATAAATTTTATAAAATAAAAAATATTATTTTAATGTGTTTTAAAACATAACTAACAATCTATCCTACTAGTAAAATAAAATAAAAAAATTTATTTTTAATTTTTAATTTTTAATTGTGTTTTATTTAAAAAATTAGTATTTAACATTATTCAATGACACTAATGATAAATTAGATAGAAATCACAATTCCAATTTTATTCCTGATAATATTTTACTTGATGTTGTTGCGCTCTTAAAAAACAAAAAAAAATTGTAATCTTTGTCATATATATTTCATACGTAATAAAATTATAAATAGTTTAATAAAGTAATAAAAAATATTTTCTATAAAATATTAGTTATTTCACGATGTAATAACAGTAGTTAAATTTATAATAAAATTAGATAAAAATCGCAATTCCAACCATCAATAATAATATATATTTTTTAAAATTATTTACAACCTCAATTTAAAAAGTATTTTTAACAAAATATATTAAACTATTTGTTTTTCAACCTCAATTCCAACCACAATTTTAACCAAACATATATAAATATCAAACCAACTTCAATCAAAAATAATTTTTATAAAATAATTTTTTTAAAATTATAATTACAAAAGTAAACTACCACAATAACAAACATACACTTAATCAACTAAAATCATATGAATTAACTCTCCAAAATTTGAAGGAAAAAACAATACCAAACATATACAACTAAAATCATATAAATTAACTCTCCAAAATTTGAAGGAAAAAAAGATATTAATCAAATTCCAATTAAAGGACCCAAAGAACTATTAATGGAGCAAATTGAACACTGTTTTTGACCGAGTCAGGATCAATCCTCCTTATTCAAAGACTTCTAATCCATCTTCTTCCCCACATAACCAATTCCTCAAAAACCATAATCAATCCTATAAACCCACCTCCACAAATCAACCAAGTTTCCCATTCACGTCACCGACCTATCAAAATCCATAAAACCCATTCTTCATCATCATGCAACAACATAAAACAGTGATAGTGCATGAGGGTTTTGGGTGAAGAAAAGAGAGATGGTAGCATACGACGGGGGGGAGGGGGGGAGACAGACGTTTTTTATTTATTTTATTTTATTTTTTTATAAGAGAGAGAAGCTCATATACGAGGGGAAGAGAGAGAAGCTCATATATGAGGGGGAAAAAATGGAAGAGATGGGGAGATTTCATGGGTTGGGGACCGAACTGTGAAACACGTCATAGGTTTAGGAGCTTTTTTGTATTTATTCTTATAAGATACAAGACACATGAAAGGAACAAAAATCACTCCTTTAATTGTGAAAAATGACGTTGTAACCAATGAAAGCTTGAAATAAGAAGTCAAGGAGAAGCTTCATTTCTGATCAAAATCAAGAGAACAAGAAACATGGGCTTTCCTCCAAAGCTGGCCCTAGTTTTCATCGGATTCTTTGGATGGTGCGTCTTTGCTACAAGTGTTCCTGACACCACCGGGACAACTGTTCTCTGCAACTCAGGAGTGTACTCAAAGGGTGATCCCTTTGGAATTAGTCTAGCTTATGTCCTTGCAGAAAGTGGGGCTGTAACCCCAACGAGCAAGAATTATGACTACTTCAACATCTCTCCTTATCCTAATGCTGCTGCCTATGGTCATGCTGCTTGCAATCAGAACCTCACCAGCTCCGACTGCTCATCATGTCTTGGCGCGGCTAAAACAGCCATGTTTGCGAGTTGTCAAAGCCGAATAGGGGCTCGTTCGGTGCTCCATGATTGTACGATTAGGTATGAGCAATACCCATTTTCTGATTAAACAATTGGGCTCTCGACAAGATAGGATTTTTCTTTGGCTACCATGTTTTCTATGTACCATGGACAGTGCGTCCAAACTTATCCGTTTCAATGTTCTCGTACGTGGTTTGGCTGATAAGGTTTTTGCTTGTTCTTTCCTGTCACTTGTTATCATGTTTTCGTTCTTATTGAGTTATTTTGGCTTATTAGTTTTCTTGTTCATTCTTGAACATGCCCATCCAATTTTGGATTCTTGTAGACTATCAAGCATGCCTGTTTGTGCGTGAATGTCTCCCCGATTTTATCTTTGAAAGTTATGCAATTATGATTTACCAAAAATTGTCAGTGGCACCGCACCCACCGCTGTTAAAAGCAGGGGAGCATGGAGTGGCCTTTCCTTTCATCAAGATTAAAGGAAAGTAAGCTAGTGGATAACTTCAAAGAAGGGGATAAGACAGGCATTGTCCTCTTGAATGCTTAATCTCTAATACCCTCAATCTCCGTCGGACAATCAGCTAACAGGAAAGAAGAGAAAAATGCGTTCCACTCTTATATAGGTGCCAGATCCATTTTGCTCACCACGCAGCAAATTGCGCATAATAAATTCACGGGGAGCACCTGATAGGGAAGTGTTAATGCCCCGTGCTTTCGATTTCCATCAAGGCATGGAAGTCCGTATTTTTGGCCAACCAAATCCTTAATACATAAATTTCTAGCTTAAGTTACGAGTTTTTCCATGCGTGTCAAGAAACCAACACAAATTCAAGAGCACTGTAGGGAAATAAAGGCCCCCAAAACTAGCATAGTATGTCCTTAGAGAATTTCCATGCCTTGGATTCTTTACATTCTTTAACAATGACTAAAGCTGAAAAGTGCTGCTCCCAGTGGTATGTAAATTAAACAGAAGAGGAGAAATCGTACTGTTAAATTTCCAGTATTTGCTTTGCATAAACAGTGTACAAGGGGCGTTATCAGAATCTTTCTATGGTTTTTCTGTCCCATTGAATGCACTTTGTATAACAAAAGGAAAAGCATGCCTTTGTGTATCTCTTCACAACCATCAATTTTGCCTTGTCCACGATGCCTGTGAAATGTCCCCAATCATTCTGGGAACAAAATTCATCAAAAAGCAGTATAACTTAAATTTTCCCCGAGATTGTCGATGGAAACTGTGATTGATCAAGTGGATGGCATTGGAAGCGAACGCATCACAACCAACTCAGCAAATGATGATTTTGTTGATTGGTTTGAGGAAACAGCAACCTTTTATCTATGAACTGCCGTTCTTTGATGGAAACTGTGATTGATCAAGTGGATGGCATTGGAAGCGAACGCATCACAACCAACTCAGCAAATGATGATTTTGTTGATTGGTTTGAGGAAACAGCAACCTTTTATCTATGAACTGCCGTTCTTTGATGGAAACTGTGATTGATCAAGTGGATGGCATTGGAAGCGAACGCATCACAACCAACTCAGCAAACGATGATTTTGTTGATTGGTTTGAGGAAACGGCGACCTTTGATCTATGAACTGCCGTTCTTTAATCACGCTGGTCAAAACAGATAACTTCCTGTGCAGTCAGGGCAGCATGAGAAGATTCTGTTAGATTTTGTGCACCAACAGACCCCCGCTTGAGTAGAAGCATATAAAGAAGCTCATTCCAGGAATCAGGTACACCAGGCAGGCACCAATGGCTGCAGTCTTGATGGTGTAGGGAGGGTGGACCTATACTTGATCCTAGATAGTACACGGATGGGTGGCCATCCTTTCTCCGTGCCGACATGCTTGTCACATTCAACAAATGCAAGTACATGGCTTGTGATTCATTTGAATGTTTCGATAAAACATCAAAGAATATTTTGAAATGGATGTCCGGTGAACCAGCACTGAGCTTTTAAGTAAGGAAGCTTCTCCAAATGACAGCTACCGTGAGACTTCCGGTCACCACCTCTGTTTCATAAGCAAATTTATGAGATAACACACTCACATGCAGTATTTGAGACCAAAGGAATCATCTCAAGTAACTCATGAGTTGAAAAGAGCTGGTCCACAGTTTAGCGAGGAAAGAATTCAGGTTTCCCTCATAATCAGAAAACCGCACTGATAATGTTATTCTGTACAAAAATTTGAGACTAAAATCAAAGAGTCAAAATAGATGTATCAGCATTCAGGAAGAATCTGGCAGTTTAAATATTCGAGAAAGAGTTGCTTGTAAATACATTTGAAATGTCCATGATAAAAAAGAGTACCAACGCAGAAAATTATATCAAGAAAAAAGAAAACTAAAGACAGACCTGAAATGTACCGGAGAAAAGGATCGAAAGAAGACTTGAGTCTTGCCCGTATTTACTTCAGTGTGAATCCAATCGATCAAGGTTTCAATTGATCTTCAATATGCAGTTTCAAAACTCATCTCCATCTTTACTTACCCACTTTCTTGGAAGTAAGAACCCCTAACAAATAACACAAAAGCAAATATCAAATATCATTTCAACATTATAGCATGAACAGACAATAGCTTCACTAGCAACTCTGAGACAATTAATTCCTCGAACAAATCATATTCTGATTTCTGACCTTCCCTCTTCCTACATGAAGTGTGCATGAGCGAGAATGCAACATCTTAACACTGTAAAATAATAACTAGAACTGACAAAAGCATGCAACAAGAAGATTGTTACTCTGATGGTATAATGAAATGAAATGCCAGCAGCAACAAGAAGAATGTGGTTTTATTGCAAGGCAAACGTACTAGCTGTGGGTGATTTTATATGCGGTAATGAAAAAGAAATAGATAAAAACCCTTTCATATTTTCTCCATTTTGTCCATAAATCAAGTTTAATCATTGGTTTGAATGCCATACTCCAGTTGAAGACTGCAAACCCATCTTAACCCACACCTTTGGACTTTGGTTTAAAAGTGGTAAAGAGGATTCATACCAGGGAAACCTCATAGGTTATCATGCTTAGGAAGTTGGGATTAATCCTCAAATTCATATTCTGCCTTTACTTTATCCCTTCTCGTGCGCTCAACTTTCATAATATTCTGTTTACATCTACAATGGCACACGCCATCTCATATGCAAGTGAACAAACACCAAAGAACTTCCTCCATATGTTGGTGCATTCAAGCTCAATAGAAAGATGCATGTTTCAGCAGACTCTGCAGTAAATCTATGGCATTCAAAAGATCTATAATCTCACCATGAATAATTTCTTTACCATATTCATGGCTAACAGAAACACATTTTCTTCTACTCAGCAAATACAATGCATGTATGTTTTCAGCTCTGCCCCTCGGATTGAAACTCTTTTGTGAACAAACAAACTGTATATAACTTTCTCCTAAACTTGTCAACTTAGGGCCTAAATTTCCATAATGTTGCAGATGTGTTTGCCACACGAAACATGCTTTCATCTGCAAGTTATTCTGTGTATTCACAAGGATTTTTTCCCCCACTAAATCCCCAAGTTGCTGAGCTGAGAAAAAACATATTGTACATATACACCAGCTACAGAAAAGGTTATATAAAGACTATCTTTGCACTCACAGGGTCTTATCCTAGTTCTATAGTGCCAAAAGTAGAAAGAAAAAAAAAACCCGATAGTTTACGCTCTCGCACACTTGCACACAAAAGAATCGGGTCATCTTAAGTGATCAGATAACATCTCTTACTTTCTGCCGCTCAGATTAAGACTACATGAACAAACAAGATGTGTGTATCTTCACGGATCTAAACTAGCCACCTTGAGGCCTAAATTTCTATAATCTGGCAGATGCATTTTTCACCTTAAACATGCATTTTAAGCAGACCAGCTACAGTAACCGTATCGTCTTATCCTAATTCTATAGGGCAAAGTCAAAAACCAGAAAGCGTATGCTTGAGTACGTGCGCGTACACACACTCACAAGAGCCAGCTCGTGGAGGTAAAGCGATCGAATAGGCCGGCTTTAGCCTCAAATGGTCTTAATGATGCATATATGCAGACCAGTTGTGCTAAAAAGCTATAGATAGTTATTGTGCCCTAGTGTGGTATTCTCCAGATTCAGCGATGCCAAAAGTTGAAAATAGCTACATATAAAGACACAAAGACTAGCACTTAGTGTTAGAAAAAGATAGAAACATATTTTGAAGATAAAGAGACAAAATAAATCTTCTCTAGATTGTTTTGAAGTAAATTTATGTAGTTTTAAAACATAAAGCAAATGATTAAAGGCTACCTTAAAAATCTGTAAGAGCATCTCCAACCAGAAAATTAAACGAGGAGTTAAATTTTAAAATATGTACTTGTAACTTTTATTTCTTGTTTTTACAACTTCAACTAGTAGGTAAAATGATAGTAGAAATAACTAAAAGCTAATTCTACATGTTTATGTAGAAATGGCTAAAATAAAGTTATTATTTCTAACTACTATTATCGTTGATCAATAATTTTTTTTTTCTTTAAAAATAGAAGAAAAGAATTTTTTTTAAAAAAAAAAATTTATATTACACCTCACCCTTCTTTTAAATTTAAAAAAACAAGAATCAATTATTCTCTGGTTAATTAAAAATATTGATTGTGTTAATTAGCTGAAATTAAAAGGTATGTTAATTTAAAAGCTTTTTCTATTTTCTTTTTAATATCTCTTGATTTTGTAGACCTTTTGTTGTTAATTTGATATTTGTGATGATTTTTATTCCTTTGTTATTTTATGTTTTTTATATGGGTTAAGGAAAACAATTTTTTATTTATGTTGTTATCTTTGATAAAATTGAGAGGAAATAATAATGGTAGCTAATATTGATAAAAATATAGAGTGACATATTTAAAATTTATTTTTGATTGTCTAGGTTAATTATATTTTATCTTATTGAAAATACAATTAAATCGGTAAATTAATCCTTTTTTAGTTCCAAAAAATAGTTAAATTATAATGTTAAAACAAATAGGATGCAATGCTTATTATTAATAGTTAAAAGATAGTAAAAATAACTATTCAATATGTGAAAAGCTATTTCTACATCTTTATGTAGAAATGGCTAAAATAAAGTTACTATTGCTATCGATTATTTTTATAGCTATTGTTGGTCAATAATTTTTTCTCTTTTTAAAAAACAGAAGAAAAGAAATTTGTTTTTTTTTAAATTTAAAAAAACAAGAATCAATTATTCTCTGGTTAATTAAAAACATCGATTGTATTAATTAGCTGAAATTAAAATATATGTTTATTTAAAAGCTTTCTCTATTTTCTTTTTAATATCTCTTAATTTTGTAGACCTTTTGTTGTTAATTTGATATTTATGATGATTTTTATTTCTTTGTTATTTTATGTTTTTGATATGGGTTAAGGAAAATAATTTTTTATTTATGTTGTTATCTTTAATAAAATTGAGAGGAAATAATAATGGTAGCTAATATTGATAAAAATATAGAGTGACATATTTAAAATTTATTTTTGATTGTCTACGTTAATTATATTTTATCTTGTTGAAAATACAATTAAATCAGTATATCAATCTTCTTTTAGTTCCAAAAAATAGTTAAATTGTAATGTTAAAACAAATAGGATGCAATACTTATTATTAATTCACATGTATGTAAACAATAAAATTGTTAAACATTGAATGTACGCTTCTTTTACCCTCTCTTATAAAGTTTTAACTTGAGTTTTTTTTTTTTTAATGTAGATGGATTTAAATTTTCCAAGCTCTTTCACCAACTTTCTTATGAGTGAGTAAGAAGATATTCTCTCTCAACCAAGTGATTCTAATTAATTAATTGATGACTTAACATACTTAAATTTAAATGTCCATACAACAAAAAAATCACAAAGAAATAAAAACTTCTCACCAAAAAAATATTGTTTACTTGTTTCTACATTGCTAAATACAAGTAAAGATCTAATTACAGGAGTTGAACAACAAACAAAACAGTTCTAGGCTCGAATACATACTTATTTTGTAGAGAATGGAGGAAACTTGAATAATCATTCTCAAATAAGCATCTCAAGTAGATGGCAAGAAATAAATAGAGAAGTCAATAAATTTATTAGATTTGTTACTCAAATTAAAAATCATCAACAAAGTGGAATGACCAAAGAATCAAGAGTAATTTTAATATTTATTTTTATGTCATTCTTAAATAAGCATCTCAAGTAGATGGCAAGAAATAAATAGAGAAGTCGATAAATTTATTAGATTTGTTACTCAAATTGAAAATCGTCAGCAAAGTGGAATGACCAAAGAATTAAGGGTAATTTTAATATTTATTTTTATGTTAAATTATTTAACATATATTTTAACATTATTTAATTTCTCTAATTTTTTACTTACCAGATTAATGATGCTAGACAAATGTATGCCTTTTATAGTGGCAAACGATTTCAACTAGAACATTGTTGGGTTATATTAAGAAAAGAACTCAAATGGCAATCTGAGCGTGCAAGTCAACATCAAAGGTCAAACAAGAAATAAAAAGGTCGTGTTAATGCAAGTTCAACTTCATCAGCTCCATCTACCCTTGATTCTGTTAGTTTAGGAGAAGACAGTGAACCATTGATTTATTAAGATAAACCAATTGATCAGAAGGTTGCAAAGAAACGACTTAAACATAAACAAGAAAAAGATAAAGTTTGAGAGACAACTGTAACAAATCTTTTATAACAATTTAGGGATACTCTAGTTGAATAGAGATAATTGTAACAAATCTCTTATAACAATTTAGGGATACTCTAGTTGAAATTATGGATCAGGAGAAATAAGACAAAAAAAAATTATGTTAGAGCAACAAGCTATGAGTGATTCAACAAAGTCAAGAGAAACAAGAATTGGACAAGATTGAGAAAAAAGAACAAATTATAAAAATAGATATTTCTAATTTGGATTCAATTTTTACAGCGTATTTTCAAAATAAAAAGTTAGAAATTATACAAAAGAGAGGTTTTAATTTTTAAATTAACTACATTTTTTTTTAATGTAATGTATTTTTAATTAACTAGATTTATTTATTGTTTAATGTAATGTATTTTTAATTAAATATTTAGAAATTTCTTGGTTATTTTAAATATATTGTTATAAAAATGGTATCAATTCATAATACTTTTTTGAAGTTCTTCTAACACTTAACAACAATAAGTAGGATTAATTAACTTAAAAGA